CCCCCCATTATTCCTTACTTGTCCTGTTTCACTTCTTTTTGTCTTTTTTTCTCCCCCTCTCGTTTTCATTCACTCTTAATCCATTTTTTCTTTTTTCAAGTGCCAATGTAAGTTTTTTCTCTCTCCCCCCCTAACCCCCTCCTCCTTCCTCTTTTCCCCTTCATTGATTTCCAAAACGCAGCCTTTGTGCACAGCTGGAAAGCAGCTGTGTGTCCGACTGCGTCTTTTTCTGGCATGCCGATGTCGCAGTGGGCAAAGCTCGCAGGAGAGGCCTGTCACACCGGGGGGGGGGGGCAGTAGGAGAAGCCCAGGCTCCAGGCTTTATTACTCGCTCTGTCCGCATCAGCCCAATGGGGGCTGGGGGAGGAGAGAAGGAGACAGGGATGGCAGACGCGTTTAAGCTTGGTGGCGTGTGGCCGGGGCCCTTTGGTGGCCGGGTAGATGTGTGGTCAGCGACAACACCCCCCCTGGGAAGCACTCTTGCCGTGAGGGGCAGGGGGGGAGGACTCACATACTCTCTGTGAAATCTGATTCCATGTGGTTTTTAAGAAGCCGCATCTGTAAAGTCCGTGATGGGGCCTTCATACTGAAAAGTCACGTCAAAACAGAGGGGGTAACTCTGCACAGCGGTGGGGCACCTAAATGTCACGGAGAAATAGTCCAGGAAATAGCCGTGACGGCCGGATGGGGCATCGCGGTAAAACCGCATGGAGGTCAATCACTCCCCTTCCCTGGAAAGTTCTGTCTGCGTTGCTGGTGACCCAGTACCAATGGAAAGTCACAGCTATTAAAGACCCGAATGGTGATTTCTGGGGACCCACCCGCATTGCTAGTGAGGGTCGAACCCCTTTATGGCAAAACAGGGCCCCGCGCAGCATTTTCCTGAGCACCGTCGGCTGGGCACGGTGCCCCGCGATGACAGCACGCTCAAGTGGAGCCTTCTTGCGCTTTTCGTTCGCTTTGAAGCCACATCGAGCATGCCCACGTCTTTCCAGAAGGCCCGTCATGTATCGTGAACCTGCTTTCAGTTTATTTGTTCTAAACAGTCTTAGACTTTTCACTTTCCAGACCTGAAAAACCTTCCGGGAGTGTGCGCTTCTCTGCTGCAGCCCAGCTGGTTAAGCTAACCAAGCGATCGGTAACTATCTGACTAGCGGTCGTGATTTCAGTGTCTCAGGCTCCCATGGACCATAACCAAAACACAATGAACCAACACTAATCTGTGAATCCTGCAAAAATCCTTTCGGCTGTTTATGTCGGAAAGTCCTCGCCGTTTTTAGCGATGGGGCAGTTTGCTGTCATAATCGATCCCCCACTTCAGCTTGTTGGCAGCCAGCAGTGTGAGTCACCGTTAGAAACGTGGATCTGATAAGGAGCCGAAATCACTTGCGTATCAAATGTTTCCAAAGTTTTCATATGAGATGACTGTACATGTGCACCCCCCCCTCCCCCTTTGCTGACTGGCAAAAAGATATGCAAATTTGGGACAATTACGGAAAACGACCTGACAATTTGTTTGTTTATTTATTTATTTTATTTTATTTTCATATTTAGAGACGGAATTCTGCAATTATTTTATCTAGGGTGCAACATACCCTTAATTATCTTTGTCTTATCCAGATTCCATTGGTAACAGGCACTGTAACACATATAAATGCAATTTGTGTGGCCTTGAGTTGATATTTCAGTCCAGGTGATGGATAAATAATCCTTCAGAAGGTAAGGAAAAAGTGCAGAGAGGAGTGCGAGTGGGAGTCAGAATGAGCAGAGAAAAAGAGAGAGTGAGCATGAAACCCCCCCCCCCCACAACACACACAAAAACACACACACACACACACACACTCCGTACCTGCCCTGGAAAGGTACAGCCAGGGACCTCTATCTATCCCTAGGGTACAGTGTGAGTTACAGTGTGATAGAATGTGCCAGAAGCTACACGGAGCGATAATAACGGGGGGCGGCCAAGGAATGGGCCACATTAGTTCGTCAGGGTTAACGAATGGTTCGAAGGTCACACAAGCTGTCCACAGCCTCGCACTTTATGCCAAAAGTCCCATTTGCTAACACTTCCGGGTCAAATGCTAGTCTCATTAATTCTGTTGACAGTCGCCACATATGTGAAGAAGTACTGTACGCACTTCAGAGTGGCATTCGAGAGACAACCTTTTGACGGGGGATTAATGAATGGCAGAATCCTTGAGGTTCCCCCCATGTGTGAGAATGGAAACTTTGGGGGCGGTAATAGCTATTTTTCACTCTGAGAATAACACACTGTTATCGCTGCGTAGATTATCATCAGATAATCTCGCGCTGGTGTTTTGGGGAACCTGGTGAGCGGCATTAGCCTGAGAACGCATGTTGCCCTCTCTCACCTTGTTTTTCAGAGAAATACCTTGCTTTGAACACCCCCCTCCATTCATCTCCCTCCGTCATCTCTTTTTTTTTTGGGGGGGGGGGGGTATGCGCACTGGTAATACCATTAAACCAACAGGGGGGTGGTAGGTAAACATCTTTTTTTTGTAGCAGAGATACTCATCGGTACAGAGCAGCAGGAAGGACAGACATACACTGACATGTGCGAGGTTCTTGTGTCTTGCTATTGGAACGTCTGCCGTGATGGAGCTGCATGTTTTACTGCGCCGAGCCGCTCATCGGCGCAGCACCAACGCAGATAGTTCATCCCGCTCTAAATTTAGCTGTAGACAGAGGCAAAATCCCGACCCGTCAGAGCCCTGATCTCACACCGACAGTTTTATAAACTTTTCTATCTTTTTCTGCTCTGTCGCATTATGAGTCACAAGAGCAGAACACATGGTGTTCTGGGCACCCCCCCCCCCCATCCCGCCGACTGAGTAATCCATGGGTCTTGCACGGCCTGAGTTAAAGACCAAGCGGCCTACAGCTCGGCGTGGAAATCGTGCCTCACTATGAATTGCTCCTTCGCATTGACTTGGTCCTGGTGTCACTGAAGGCTGACGGGCCCCGTTTGGATTCACGGGCTGGAGGTTGGTTACGGCCCTGGCTCTGCTGTAAGGTCCTCGGCCATAAGCCTTAAGACAGAGGCTTGCTGTTTGAAAGGCTCCAAGCAAGATGATGTTAAGGAGCCAGAGTGCAAATTCGTGGTTTTAAACAGGAACTGGGTAAAGAAATTTAAATGGGGTGGGGGTGGTGGGGTGCAGCTTGAAGCAAAAGATTTTTGGCCCGTGTGTAAACTTTGAGATCTTCCAAATGATGTGCAGGTCAGTCGTGGCTTGCAGCCCCCCCAAAAGCAGCAGGTACGCGAGCAAACGGCCTTTCTGTATGTAGTGGCAGTCTCTGCTAGGGCTAAAAGGGGGGCTTGGTTCTTCGATCTTACCCAGTCTTTCCCAGCCCCCCCAACCTGGCGCTGCGCTGTCGGCACTAGGCCTCCCCCCGGACTGCCTGGGTCCCACTGACGCCACATGCGGGGCCCCCCTCCCCCTGAAACCACTTCAAACACCCCCGTCAAAACCCCATCACCAATGAGACTTCTGCTTCGACTTAATGCCGCTGTAATCCCAGTCGCTCCCCGCTCCTCTGTTGTGATATATACATCAAAGCTCCACTTAAATTCGGTTTGCTATTTTTTTTTCGAAAGGAAAAGTTGAAAAAAAAAAGAAACTAATTTTCAGAGAATCTCTTTGCATTTCATTCTCTCTGTGATTCCACCCCCCCCCCCCCCCCATCTGCCATCACAGTCTATGACGGATGGTTTTGGATCTCGCTGGTGTGGTGCGTGAACTTGGCCTACGTGCAGACCCAGCTCGACCCCGACCTCCCCCCCCCCGCCCCCCTGCTGTCTCTCGGGGCTGGATAACTTGGCTGATTGCTTCACCGCGTCACTATAATCTGCAGAATCCTGCACAATGTCCGCCTGTTGATCATTTGCCATTAGATAAAACTCACCTTGGGGTTCCCACCCATGGATGTGTGTCACGCTTCTGTGACCGACCTGCATAAACTGAAAAGGGCTACAACCGAGCAACAGTGGAAGATGTCAATGTGGGTTTCAGAGCGATTGGAGATCAGGGTGGAGTCACCAACATGGCACAGTCAGATGGCGGCTTCCAAGTCTGATCCTGACGTTTGGCTCCTAAATTGCGTCCGCTGTTCCATGGACCGCCCACACAGATTTCCCAACTGTTCTGACACGGGACCACGCAGAAGACAGGAGTCAAGCCATTGTGAGTCGCCGCAGCACAGCATGTCGATCTCTCCAGGGCCGGCCCTCGCAGACGTGTTTACCGATCTACCGACTGGCACACGGCCTGAAACCGAACAAAATAAGGACGAGCTTGTCTAAAGAGAAGCAGGCCGATCTGGACATCTGGACGCAGTTAACACTTCGGCCAGTAGATGGCGCCTGATGATGGCAAGGATGGCTGCCATCCTTGGTAACTCTTCTGCTGCTTAGTAACACTTCATCAGAAGTGGCAGTGGGGAGGGGGGGGGATGGAGGTTGAGGAGTCCGACAAAGTTCAAACCAGTGATTAGGGTTTACAGCACAAACCGAGACACCTCTGAGCTCACTGATGACATGACACCTCCAAGGCCATCTGAGGGAAGGGAGGACAGAGGATGGAGAGTGGTGTGAGGGAAAGAGAGAGAGAGAGAGAGAGAGAGAAGGAATGGGGGAGAACAAGATGAAGCACAGGAAATCAATAGGAAGTCGTCTGATCTTAAGGGTAGTGACAGAGCGTGACACGCCCTTAGAGTGCAGAGAGTGGCAGGGGCGCCCCAGCAAGCTCTGCCCTGCCTGCTTCCCCCAGGCCCCAGACCAGCCCTGCCACCACCAACGCATCTGCTTCTTCCAGCTCCGGCCCGACAGCCAGCCGGCACACGGACGGGCATGAAAGTCCGCGAGCCGCGGAACAGCGGCAGACTCCCAAAATTCGGTAACCATGGAAATCTTATATAGGGGAACTCGTTCATGTTATTCAGTGTAACGCCCCCCCCTCGACATGTCTGATGTTTCACTTTGTGGGGTTTAGACAAGGTGATTTTCAACACGCCCCCCCTTATTAAAACATTTATAGTCATCGGGGGAAACCAAGCTTTTTTTTTTTTTTTTTTTCGTCAAAACCTCAAAACTAATTTCTTGAATAAAAGACTTTTACAATGCAACTGAAGTAGAATAATCCCATCTCACTTTAGACTGCAGTTGGCTCCACCGGGAAGTTTCTCTATTTTTTATGATTTTTTTTTTTTCTTTTCCTGACGCCTACCATTAAAACTTCAAAAAAAAAATTTTTTTTATTTTTTTTTGCGATCCCTGAGAACATTTTTAATATTCGAGAGCCGCCATCGTGTGGTTTTGAGCAAAAGCAGAAAATAAAGAGCCACATCTGAGAGCTGGAAGAGGGAAGGCGTGGAAAAAAAGAAAGAAAACCAGGGGGAGGGAGAAATCCGGGGTGGGGGGGATGCGGGGGGGGGCGGTATTTATAGAGCCCCGTGAGAGACTCTGGAGTGACATGGTGCTAATGAAGCTGGCGCTAGGTTTGAGTCCTGGGCAGCTTGACCGCGGGGGCCCCCGTGTGGCCCTCACTGCATTCCGGGTGCGCCCACACCCCCCCTCCCTGTGTGGGGACGCGTACGACGGCCTGCGTGTGAGGCCAGCCAGGACCAGGCCAAGCCCCGCCTCTTTCGGCACTCGGATGCTTTTTTTCTGGGCTGGGCGGACCAGGGGAAGCTCCTATACGGACCCAGTTGGCTCTTCGCGCTTTCACCCTGTTCTCTGAGTGGCTGAGGCCCAGCGGGAGGGAGCACAGCGACGAACCACGTCAGAAAGAGAGGAACGGGTAACCATAATGACACTAATAGCTGGGGCACCGGGCCCACACTTTGCTCTCACCAGCTTATGCAGGTGTGTCTCAAAGGAACTTAAGATGTTATATGTGAATAGAAGCACTCTGCCTATCATTTCAGTCATACATCGGAATTCTTTGGATGTTGCATATACCGTGTGTACATGGGTAAGAGCCAAGCTTAGGGTCAAAGGCTGTTTATTAGGCACCCAGGAACAGTTTTTGAAAGTTAGAGCCTTCTTCAACGACCAACAGCGATATGATTACTTGACCAGATGTGAGATTCAAACCAGTCACCATCCGGATACAGGCACGGACCCCAAACCGGCACGGCCTCCCATCGGACACCTCATCCTGTCACCATTCTGCTCTGTCCGCTGCACCACGTGCTAGGATCTGTCCTGCAAAGCAAGAAATCAAAACAATGCAGAAGAGAAAAGAAAAAAACGCCGTCATAGCGCCGTCGCCGCTTTCCCACACAGCCCACTGTGTCGCGGCCGCACACTCTCTCGCAAAGCGCCACGCAGTGGCCATAAAGCCGCAGCCTGCGAGGGTGTGCGACTCTGCATCCTACCCACAATGCACTGCTGGGTACAGGCAGCCCAGCTCCCTGTACCCTGCTGACGCACATGCGCCCAGCTTACTCAAAAGAGGAAAACACGTGAGGACGCACACACACACACGTGAACGCAGACACACACGCACTCTCACGGGGCACCAAAATACCCAATCGGGGACAGGCCCTTGAGTGGCTGAGTCACCTCCCGCTCTCATTGTCCTGCACACCCAGCCTGATGACACCCCATCTGTATCTCTTTACTTCTGTGTTACAGAGAAGGTGCGTTTGCATGTGTGGGGGGGGGGGGGGTTGCTATTGAGGTACAGATATTAATCAGACTTCAGAGAATTCAGCTCCCCTATAGAAACACCTAGAATCACCGTCACAGACTTACTGGGACTGTTGCAGAGATCAGGGGCGCGGGCTTTCGGGAAACGTGAGCGAGTGATGCCTGAAGTCCGGCCGCAGTGGCTCTGGGGTGTTACAGCGCGCAGAATCTTATCTGACAACAGGGACCTAGATAGAAATTCCGACAAAAGGTCACTTTGGGCTCTGCGCCCTCCGTACTACATATGATTTCCTAACTTTGCATGTTTCCTAACTCGCATAAAGTGCTGCTCCCCCTGACTCCACCAGGGGGCCCCTTGCCCCAACTGGAACCCAAGCCTTATGAATAGACTGACTATAATTATGGTAAAAGCAGTATTAAATCTAATAAATAATTTTTCAGTGACTGAAGGGGAATTACTGGTTTATCATAATTTTATATTTCACGCGATAGTTTGAAAATAGAAAATAATCATCTTGTCATCTTGATATATACAGTCATGTGAAAAAGAATTCAATACTGAGGTTTTACGTATCAGTATCATGATGTAATAAAAAATCCTCTGGTCCTTAGCAGGCAAAATGCAGATGGAGTGTGTGAAACATTAAATACATCCTTACTGTTTCCATGGGAATTAAGAGGATCAGTAGCAGTCAGGTGCTGCTAATCAAATGCACTTGATTAACTGATCATCAGCAAGTGTGACCAGCTGCTATAAAAGCAGAAGTTTTGGCAGTTTGCTGGTCTGGAGCACTGAGGTGTGTTAACACAATGCCAAGGAGGAAAGACATCAACAATGATCTTAGAAAAGCAATAACTGCTGCCCTTCAGTCTGGGAAGGGTTATAAGGCATTTTACAAACAACGTGAAGTCCATCATTCTACAGTGAGAAAGTAGAAGTAGAAAATATTCAAGACAGTTGCCAATCTTCTCAGGAGTGGATGTCCCAGCAAACGAGTCACTGCTTGGCGAGTACAAATCAAGTCTTGCATCAAAACATTACAAGTCCGAGTCAAGTCTCAAGCCATTTGCCCTCAAGTCCAAGTCGAGTCCAAGCCTTTCAATCATTTTTGCTGTTGAGTCACAAGTCATCAAGTTTGTGACTCAAATCCAAGTCAAGTTGTGAGTCATGTCATTTGAGTCCTTACCTATGTCAGTAATTTTTTTTACCTTTAGTGATTAAAACTTGCTGCAGCAAAACCATACTCTAAATCAAGTCCTTCATAAGCAGAGATAAATTGAAAAGAGAGTATCCACTCTGTCACAGTTGTCCTCACACAGTTTTTACATCCGTGTATATGCAGGGAGTGATGCGTCTTTCCAACAAACTATCTCAGGAGACCTTGCATTCAGCTTGAAAATTCAGACAGCATTTTGCAAATTGAAAATGCAGACAGAAAATAATTAATATACACTGAAATGATAAAAAATTAACAGAGGGGGACTATCACCTCGTCTTCTCAAATCATAAGGTCCAGGTCAGGTCCAAGTCTCGAGTCATCTGCCCTCAAATCCGAGTCGAGTCCAAGTCTTTCCATCAGTTTTCCCAAGTCGAGTCACAAGTCATCAAATTTGTAACTTGAGTCCAGGTCGAGTTGTGAGTTAGTGACTCGAGTCCCCACCTCTGGCAAATTCATCCCAAGATCAGACTGTGCGATGCTCAGAGAAATTGCAAAAAAACCAAGAGCTACATCTCAGACTCTACAGGCCTCAGTTAGCATGTTAAATGTTAAAGTCCATGACAGTACAATTGGAAAAAGACTGAAGAAGTATGGCTTGTTCGGAAGGGATGCCAGGAGAAACCTCATCTATCTAAAAAGAACATGGCAGCATGGCTTAGGTTTGCAAAGTTCCATCTGAACTGGTGGTGGAGGGGTGATGATTTGGCTTATTTTTTGCAGCCACGGGACCTGGGCACCATGCAGCCATTGTGTCGACCATGAACTCCTCTGTATACAAAAGTCTTGTAGAGTCAAATGTGAGGCCATCTGTCCGACGGCTAAAGCTTAGCCGAAACTGGGTCATGCAACAGGACAATGATCCCAAGCACACCAGCAAATCTACAAGAGAATGGCTGAAAAAGAAACTAACCAAGGTGTTGCAATGACCCAGTCAAAGTCCAGACCTCAACCTGACTGAAATACTATGGCAGGACCTTAAGAGAGCTGTGCACAAACGAATGTCCGCAAACCGCAATGAACTGCAGCAATGTTATAAAGCAGAGTGCCAGAATTCGTCCACAATGATGTTAGAGACTGATAGAGAACAAATACTTCAAGTTATTGCTGCTAAAGGTGGTTCTACAAGCTATTGAATCATCACTTAGTTGTTCACACAAGGCTTCTCCATTTTGGCTTTATTTTTGTTAAATAAAGACACGGTGGAATCTGTTGCGTGTTGTTTTACACCTGAAGATTAGATTTAAGTAGATTAGATTTTAGAACTTGGTAAGGACCTGGTGATGTCTTTATTATGACCTGGTACATAAAACCATAGAACAGAAAGGGGGTGTGCTTTCGTTTTCACAGGACTGTATGGCACAGTGAACCCATTCAACCTATTATATAAAAACAATATTTATGATACCTTGCTTGTGTGCAAGGTCTGCACAGCTGCAGATAAACAGACAGTTGCAGTAGCTGACTATCAGTATGATTAATGCACTGTTGACTGCAATGCAAACAGGACACACAGACACGCGCATGTACATGCACATATGCATGAGCGCACGCACATGCACATACATGCATACAAACAGTTAGGACTTCACAGTAGGAGTGCATCCTAGAAGTGAGCATTTCAAGCACAAAACACATCTTAGACCAAGGCTCTTGTTGGACCTGCTGTGAATCGCAAAAAAGGAGGGGGTTGTGCAAATTAGGGGAGGGGGTCTGTACAATTAGCAACCCAGTGTAACAGACCTACAACTTAAAGCACAAGCTGGGGTGTCTCTGCTGTGAGGAAGAGAGATTGTTTAGTGATAAGACACTTTAAAGCAAAGACCATGTTTAGCACTAAAAACATGAGTGTGACCAGCCGAATGTGAATCATAATTCTGTGTTTCTGACTCTGGAATTACCTACTCTGTCTCACTCTCTTGTCGACATCGACTGCCATTTCCTCACTGAAAGTAAAAATGGCTGAACCTCTTCCGGCCCCAGAGCACAAGCCGTCTTTATCAGAGGGAGGATGTTAGAGATAACTGCACTTGGGTGCCAGTGGAGGACAGGGGCTCTGAGCCAGTGGCAGCCACGCTGGGCTCTGGGGGGGGGGGGGGGGGGGAGGAGTAGAAAGGTAGAGGTGAGAGGAAGAGAGACAGACAAAAGGGATGAGCGAAGGAGGACAGTGAAAGAGAGGTAGAGAGTCAGAGAGAGAGAGGGAGAGAGGTGAAGAGGCAGACAGAAGAGAAAGTACAAATGGGAGAGGCAGAGAGGAAGACAGAGAGAGAGACAGACAGGGAGAGAGAGCGAGAAATGAGGAGAGGGGAAAGAGAGGAGGAGACAAATGAGGGGAGGGGGGAGAAAGACCGGAAGGAGGAGAGAGAGAGGAGAAACAGAGAGGGTGAGAGAAGACAAGAAACAGACAGACAGAATGGAAGAGAGGGGAAAGACAGAGAGAAGGGGAGACAGGAGAAAAGGAGGAGAGAGAAGGCAGAGACAGAAAGAGAGAGAGACAGAGAGGCAGAAAGGAGGGGAGACAGTCCTGAATAGAGAAGGGATCCAGACACCATGCTTCTGATGGCTGTTTCCATATTTCTGTAGGATTATTGAATTTTGTTAGCAATTTTAAGCGCTTTTGAAGAAGATACCGACTGGCTGTATTATTGCTGGTAGCACGGGTGGTTTCTAAGCTTGTGAATCAAGGCAAGTGCAGGAGGGCATGATGGAAGCTTGGCCGTGAGGGTCTGCCTCCTCAGAGAGCAACTTTGCTGTGTAACCACTTGTCAGTGTGGCCCAGGGAATTTCCCTCCTTTTCCTCTGTCCCCCATCCGACCGCGCTGTCATTTTAGCATGCGCGGGCGGATCAGAAGCCCGGACGGCCTCGTGCATTTGTGCAGGCATGCACAAACAAATAAACACAGCCACTGCCGTGGCCGGTGCAAAAAAAGTTGCATATGAGGTGTCGGTGTTGTGCGCGCATGGCGGTGCGCGAAGCAGGCAGAGAAGGACTCGGGGTGCTTGTGCACGCATGGCGTCTCAGCTTGCGTGAGAGTCGTTTACTTCTGTGGTTTTCACTGCCACCGCCATAAAGAAAAAACGGGGTTGCGGGGCAAAGATCACAAAACAGAAAAACAGGCATTATTAGATCGTGCAAAACACGACAACCAAAACAAAACGAATGACGCAAAACTGCAAACAAAAGCCTTACCATCCATCGCCTAGCGTACGACTGCTGTACTCCATTTGGAGAGGTATTCGCAGAAGTTAACGGAGAGACACGACAAAGCTCGCAAACAGCAAACGTGCACCGATTTTTGTTGTGTCGTGGCAGAACGGCAGGGTTGTCGTGTACATGTCGGTACACACAGTGGGTTTCAGGCGTACTTTTGAGACAGTGAATCACAAGCATTACACCCTCACGCTGAGCCGCTGCGACCGGGCGCAAACCTGCCACCGTTCGCTAAGGAATCGCCTTTTCTACATGTTAATCTCTGCATCTGCAAAATGGAGATTGTTTTCTCTAGGCTAAAATAGCCCAGAATTTATTTATTTATTTTAAATCTTGCTGTTGGGTGGAGAGCAAAAATAACTTCTGGACAACACATGTAGTTACGGATCGAAAGAAATATTAAAATGATTATGTGTTCCACCGCAAACAAAGGGAAAAAAAGATAAAAGAAATTCATGTATTTGTTCTAGGTGATGTATAGTTACATACCGATAAAAAATGAATGTGCTTATTCAGATTAATAAACATAACCATCTTTAATGTGTGGGTTTTTTGCTGAAATTTAGACCGAATACCTGTATAATTATGATTTATCTCCATGGGAAATTACTGTATTTGCTTTTGATCGATTTAACTGCAAGTGGTGCAGATAGGTTAACTACACTGCATAGGCTATAGGCTAAGTACACTGCTTGCAAGTCCAGTTGTGTTGGAGGCAGATTGTATTTTTCGGCACGCATCTCTGCTGCTTATCGGAAGTCCTCGTTATATTCCTTGAAACCACCAGATGATATCAATTCCATCTTGAAAAGCCTTGACATTTCTGTGACACGTGGCGATACCCTGAATTACTGCTTGCCAGGCTTGTAGGACACTGATTGAGTCCACTTCACAAAGCCTCAAAGCCTTTCCGATCCCGGCGTCCATCCCGGGCTGTATGACCCCAGCCACAAGCTAAATCTCACCACAGCGACCTGATGGGCCAGACAGTTAGTCTTGAGGTGCTGGACTGGAACTTCTTAATTCTGCACCAGTGTTTTAATCTCTGCATTTCTGCTTAAATAAGCTTAGCCCTAGAGTTTCAGGTCTATAGTGCAAGACCGATTTCTGAAATGTTAGAGACAACGCAGACCATACAGAGGATGGATAAACATTTATTCTTTACTGGTATCTCATTTAAAAAGTGGGAAATAATTAGACAACACTTTAAACAATTAGGCAACAGATTAAAGTAATTAGACTACAACTGGAAAACAAAACCATTATGCTAATCACATTGAATGAATTGCTTGAAAGATTAAATATAAATTTAATGTATATTATATATACAGTATATATTATATATATTTTTAAAATATTTTTGGTAGCCATGGGTAGCTATGTTGTGCCATAATAGTTATTTATAATCTCCATCACAGTCTTTACCTGAGATTGTGCTTCAGGGCTGAAATTGGACACCTTGGCATGTTTGCAGACACAACAAGGTGTAAATAGCTACTATGGACCGCTGTAACATACCAGGGAACGCAAATCAATTTTCAACCCAGGTTTCCACTGCCAGAAAATGTGGTCAGTGCAGGAACTCTTCACAGAGAGAGAGAAACTGTCCCTTTACATAGTACTATGCATATTCACCTGCCCAGTCAGTGTGATTCATAAATCTAGCAAGGGTTCACCGTGGATACAATGAGGCAAAATTATTAAAATATGGCACTTGGATATTATCATACTCTTCTTTGCTGTGAACTTTAGCATGTTGCCAGCCTGGGGCTTTCCTGAGTGCACTTCCCCTTATTGGAGCACACAGTCCAGGGCAGTTTCAAGCACTGGCTAGGGCAGGGCCTGGGGCCTTGTAGCACCCGTAGATGAGATCAAGTGGGAGGTGTCTGTGCTTAGATGTGGTAGCTCTGAGTCATTGCTAGAATGTCAGATAGCGGCTTCAAATAATACAGCTGATGCTTTATGTATTTTTGTCCACCGGACTTTTTAAATGCAAAACAGTCTTCAACAATCCTTCAGCTCCAAAGACAGACGCCCATATGCAATTGAGGCTCCCTCAGGGTCACCACCATTACAGGTAATTATCTAAGAAACACCCCCCTCCTCTTTTTTTAACTCTCGCCTGTTTTGCTATTACTGTGATCTGTGTGCAGATTCAGCCATAACTCAGCCTCACCTAGTTTTTTCAGGTCATGTTTTTAAAAATATTGGGCCGGATGTTTTATAATGAAATGTTATTACTGAATTTGTAGAATTTTTTTTTTATTCTAATCCATCTATTGCTTCCTTCTCAGTTATATAGGTTTTTAATATTTGAGGATGTTCCATCATTATTGCAAATATAATTCATATTTGAATTACAAACAAGATCATTTTAATCCGTACACTTTATAATTTGATACTGAGATTTTTTTTTAAAGTTTTTTGTCGTGAAATAAACCAATAGCCAAATAACATAACAAGCGTAAACGTATTCAAAGGTCTGTAAATTCAGGTTTAATAATGGAAAATAAAATCTCTTTTTTACTGGCCCTTTCATTCTTGAGCCTTGTAAAATCTTTGCAGGCGACGTTGTTTTGCGCCCACACAGCCGCGCGGCTCCATGATGCGTTTTGGGTTTTATTGAGTTTAGTTGTTTGCTGAGGAGCGTTGTCCTTGTTGTGCATGTGGTGAAACTGCTGAGTGGCCTTGTGGCTTTTCAACTCCGCCGTGAATGATGAGAAACATCTTCTGCTGAGTGCCGAGGCTGCCGGAGTCTTCGATTTTTCGTTTTGTAATATTTCGTATTTTTTTCTTGGGGGGGGGCTTCATTTGGCACTTTTTCGCTCAATCCGCCACCTACTAATATAGAACTTCTCTTCAGCTCGCTCACCGATCGCCATAACAACACATATGTGTCACGCCGCAGACACCCCACCTCCATCTTTGGGCATTTCTGAAACTGCCATTATCAAACAAAGTTACTCAATTACCTACCACCCCCCCCTTAAACATTTTTATTTAATATTTTTTATTTCATTTTCGTTACTTTCTATCACATATTTTGGAAAGTACTCTTGCACCTGCTGCCCGAACGTAACTCCTGGAGACGTGGCTCTGGATCAGAGGCACCATGTGATTTAAAGGCTGGTTAAACCCGTTAGCTAACGTTTTTTTTTATTTATTTAAAAGGATGATACAACTGATTGACTCTAAAAGCATATGAGTTATCCTTCAATTTGGATTTAAATCAGTGGAGAAAATTCTAGAAGCCTGTAATGGGAAATAAAATTACTGCGTGCACTTTAATGTTTTAAAGAATCAAACGTGGAAGAAAAGGTTGGTATTGGAACGGTCCTGATAATATATATTGCATAAAGAAAAAAAATTAAAGTTTTAATCCTAACTTTTTTTAGGAAATCTGTACAAAATCCATTTTGTGTCTAGAAATAAAGATATTTTAATTGATTAACACATGGTTAGTACTTGATGTTCTTCGTGTGTTCTAAATGCATCTTTCACTGTTTTATTTTAATGTATTTAGCAGTGTCGTACTAAGGCTAGCAGACAGGGTACTGATCTAACAACTGAGTGCAACATATTTATTTCGCACCTGTTTGTGATTGATAAGTATTCAGAGTGAAATGTCCTCACAAGTACGAAGTTTGTTTCTCCTCGGCTTCCACAAAGACCTGAATTCCAAGTAATCGCAGTGTTCGCAAGCCTGCAGCATGTACTGCAGGGAGTACAGCCAAGGCAAACCATGGTCATTTAAAACAATCAGATAACTGATTAATTCCTGGTTTAAATTAGCCGGTCCGCAAGACTTTCTCTGCATCTGTGCGATAAGGTTAACCACCCCCAACCCCGCTGCACCCCGCGATGATGGCGGCAAAAATGCACCCCAGTGGCGGCGGGAGGTGTGCCGTAATCGCGATACAATTATGACACGTAGCGTTAGTTATTTGTACCCTGGAGTTGATAGAACAGGGTCTGTTTGGCACCTGCTTTAGTAAACGTGTGCCTCTCGCGCATCTGCCACAGATGACCTTGAAAGAATACAAAGAAAGTTCGAATTTATAGACCTTGCAGAGAAACGGTGACTATACTAAAAATACTTTTAATAGTGGAACTGTTTTTCTGGGCGAAAGGTTATCCGAAAATGCTGAGCACAGGGACCACGCTTTCAGTTTTTTCATACGAATGGAGCCACTCATTACGTTCCGTTTCCTTAAATTGCCTTAGATGTGCGTCACGAGGGGCGCGGTGTGCCAGTCGCGGCAGCTGCGCGTGCACGAGCCATGTGCGCGCCACCGAAGCTCGGGGTCCAGCTTGGAGCCGGAGGACGAGCTGGTTTCCGCGGACGGTGGGAAGCATCCTGACGCTTCCAACGAATTTACTGTCACCCACCCACCCCCCAAAGCGGTCAGAGATTTACTAGCTCCATTCCAATAAAAGACTTTCAAAAGAACATATTTCCAGTCTGGCTAAATAAATCAGCTTTCGGGGTAATTAATCCCATGCCTGGGTAATGCCGATTTTAATGACAACACATGCAAAGCGCTGTCACTCTACTCCACAAAGGCAGAATTAGAGTCAAATTTCCCGGTAATCCGGACCAGACCGGGCCCCGTTTGCACTGCGGGTTTATGGGAAATGTCCTGCTAGCCCTCACAGCCGAAGCCCGGGGGGGGTCACTGTCTATTCGCGTACACCCCCAGAATCATTGAAACAAACTCGGCCCCACCAGCGTGAGTTTGCGGGTCCCTTATGAGCCTGGGAGCGCCAGTTTATGGCTTCTTAAGAACGGTGCGCATCTCCTGGCACCGCCGGTGCTCCTCCTCGCGGGCTGATTTCTACAGTCATAACTAAAATGTCGGACCGTTATTTGAGTTTGCTATCGTGCTCTAGCTAATACTGAAAGCATCGTTCGTGGGCATGGGGGTGGCGGGCGTAGGTGTGCTGCGGCGGGGTCAGGACTCATCTTAAAAGGACTCGTTCGTCACGGCCTTCGGGGTGCGCGGCCATTGGTCTGGATTCTCCTGCTCTTTGTTTTTCCATCACAAACCACATGTGGGAATTCGAAAGCCCCGGGATGACTTTTTAATGGGAGGCGGTGCTCCTTCGCGTTTGTGTGGACAGTTACTTAACTGCAGGGAGGATTCGGGCTCACATGCAACCCCCCCCCCACTACCTCAAAATGATCCTGCATTTTTTGAAGCCAGCATAATGCCGTGACACTGGGACTTTATATAGAAATCGAAAGAGATGATTTCATCATTAGATCCTCAGGAGTCTAGGTGTCTAATATGAGCCATTTCAGACTAAGACAGGTGTATATTTACATTTTTTGTAATCATTTCTGCAGTTTTGCACATCAGAAATTTTTTTACAGTTCCACACATTTAAATTTGTTTTCTTGAATGATATAAGCTTTGGTTATTTTAGCAGTTATTGGAGTTGTATATCAAGTATGAAATAATATTTATGTGCTATTGCATTTTAGTATGAATATAATTAATGATCTGTGTAAAAAAGATCTACCTGTTCTAAGAATTCCTGTACTTTTAGGTGCAATATGCAGAATGAAGCAGGCGGAGAATACGGATATATATATATATATATATATATATATATATATATATATATACATTTGAAACATATTCCATTAGTCCCACACGACTCGGAAACCAAAATTATAATCCGCACTCTATAATCAGATAGTTATTGTTCATTAGTTATGTCGTTTTGAAATGTAAACTGCAAATATTTAATGAAATTTAACAAATTATATTGCAACATATACAATGTGTTTTGAATTGGAGATCAGTATCTTTAAGTGCTTTTCTAATCTGTATTTTTATTGCTGCCGTTATTCTGGGGTTGTATCTCAGAACATTAAAATTCCTCGGCCGTGACAAACCGTGGATTATTCTCCGAAGCACTGCGCTCATCTAGTCTCTCTCTCTCTGGCACGGTGAAGATTCAGTTTCACTGATTAGGTATACGATAAAGGAGCTTGGTTTGTTTATTGATTTTTAGTTTAGCTTTAATTTCAGTTGTAATTTGAGTGGCAAATCAGAAGATATCAGAGTCGCGTGGCAAATTAGAAGATTACAATCCGCGTTTCTTGTTTTACAGTCTGTGTTTATAATTATTACCACATGTGTAAGTTTTAAATTTATAAACTTTTCATTTGGATTTTGTATTTTTTTTTTTAATTTTTTGGGGGGGGGGGGTTTACTAATTCCTTCAGATACGGGGTCCGAGCGCGGAGAAGCAGCTCTCTAATCCGAAACATTTACCAAGATCCCTGTTTCCTGCTTGTCACAGCTGGTTAACTGAAATTATCTTTTAAAATGAAGTCTAAACAGTTATAACATCAAACAGACTCGTCTGGCATGGGAGACCCGATGCCACACGTCAAAAAAATAAATAAAAATGAAAACGTACAGACACACACTATTAAGGGTATTTGCGGGAGGTGACCTGGGATTCCGGGTTCAAGTGAGAAAAGGGCCATCCTTGGTTCGTGTGACGTAGGAAGATCAGCTGACTAAGTCAGGTGAAATGACTTTACCTGGCTGCTAGAAACATTTGTCTGATCCCAGCTGCTACTAATTCTAACATTACAAAGTAAACACCTAAACAAGAGTATACAAAAACTGGATATAAAAAGCAAGACACTGACGAGAAGATTATTTTAAATATTTTACATATGACAAGTAGCTTGTGAGGTTACATCATAGGCCTATTGACCTTGAAGAAAAGTCTTCATTTTCACTAACTGCAATTCCAAGACGTAGAACTTCTGTTTTATTTAGGACTGTTTATTTTTTATTTGATGAATCCAGGCTAAATGCGATGTTGTCAATTCTTAGGTCGTCTTCCCTCATGACTAAGAAAAATGTAATTAGATGCCCTGTTTGAAAACACAGCTGGAGGTTAGTGAGAAGGGAAATGGTGATCTGCCTACTCACTACTCACCGCTCACAGACCACCGCAGCATCTGAAAATATATACTATTTTTAAAGCGTTTTCAAATTTAGGAACTGCAAACAAATAACAAGCTTTCACATTTTCTGTTTCACATGTGAAATCGACTAATAAACCATCAGAAATAATAGTGATACTGATATTTTTACGGAAACAGGGCCCACATGGTACAGTAATTTTCAGAGAATCATCCCGTAAGCATTTTAGTTGCAGACAAATCAGATGAGGTTTAATGATTTTGAGGGTGGAGGCGGGGCTGGGTACTGTCACGGAGTGGTGGCGTTTCCACAGAAACTGGCTGGCTGATTATTTTCCACATGGTACTGTGATTTTAGACTGGCAGGGCACACGGGGTCACCGAGGGCCGTCTCACACTCTCTTGCACTCTCTCTCTCTCTCTCTCTCTCTCTCCCTTTTTCCCTGCCAGTCAGTATCGATAAGTTACACGCGCTGGGATCCGAAGGGGAAGATGATGGTGTCCCCTGGACTGAGGAAGCACAGGACCTCTATAAGGCTGGGGGTCAGGGTGAGAGTAGCCTGATGCCAACCGAGGGCACCGAGTCACAAAGCCCCATCCTGCACGGCCGCTCCGCCAGCCTCAGCCCAGAGCACCACTGGCACGGGGAGGAGAGAAACACCCCCAGCAGGGATGGGACGGACGGGGCTGTGGCGTCGCTGAGGGATCAGACCTCGCTGGTCTATGGTAAACACGCTGCTCACACACATCTGACAAAGAAAACATGAATCATATACAATTCCCCTATGCTAAATATCATCTTTTAGATTTAAATCAGCATAGCCACAATCATTTTAAGGAGATAATTCTTATTAACTATTGCGATTCTTATGAATAATAAACACAATAAGCCTTTAATAATTCACTCTCGGCCTCTTCGTTCGACATGAAACCGTCCAGCCGTTATCGGTTTATCTTCTAGCCTTTGCGTTTGGGATTCGGTATTTACTCCTTGTGCCACACAGCAACATCCCGCATGCCGTCAAAGAAACAACTTCCCACGCGTGAGATCGGAACCCATCTCGTGGGATTGAGGATTCAGCACAATTGCCTAGAGATCGTCTCGTTCTACCGACGCTTGTAGCCGGGACGTGAGAATGTTTAACCGCTCACAATTCTCACCCGCTGCACGGAGTCTATAAAAGCGCTCAGATGGGGAGCCACGTGCCTGTATCTTCAGAGGGATCCTCTGCTGAATCACAGCTGCGCTCAGGCTGCCAGGGGTCTGTGTGGCGGCGCTGCAGGGCCGCCGGCGCGCTTGACTAACAAGCCATTACCGAGCTCTTTGCTGCGTGTTTTTTTGTTTTTGCTGCCCGGATGCGTTACCGTGACGGTTCCCAGGTCGCCACGGCGCTCCGATTCCTCCGCAAGCTTTCTTTTATTTGCGAGTCCGGGTCTTTTTTCCACAGATCCCGGGCAATGCGGCTTTCCCGGTCACAGCTGCTTAAGGAGGCTTTGGCATGTAACGCTATAGGACCAGAGAGGACGAAAGTCCCATTTTAAAACGTGTATCTGAATACTCCCCCCCCCCCCCCCCCAAAAAAAAAAAAAAAAAAAAAAAAAAATTTTTTTTGGGGGGGGGGGGGGGGGGGTTGGGGGGGGGGGGGGGGGGGGGGGGGGGGGGGGGGGGGGGGGGAAGTAGCACATGTGACGGTGACGGTTTTTTCCCCCCACTAACATGGTCGACGATGTGTCCTCAAGGTCAGGGTGAAGAGACCCAGGGTCTGACCAGTCTGGCTGATTACGACATCCTGCTTCAATTTGCCCGGGGCCAAGGCGTACAACTCCAGCAGCACAATGGGGACACGCCTGGGCACCGCTGCTCACCAGCAGGTCACGGCTCACCCAGCGGCCAAGGTACAGCGGAGCACACCAGGACTGCAGTGACCCAATGCGGCAAGAGCGCTGCACTAAGAGTCCCTGAGGGGAGGCTGATATCGTACGCCCCAGTCGCCGTATGATTCGACAAGCAGCTGCGGGGCTGCCTTATCAGGGTGTTCTACATCAGAGAAATTAATTAGCCTACCAGGTGCATACAGTCAGGCAGACAGAAATGTGTGAAAGCTGGAAACCACACCCAGAAGCAGAGGTTCATGGCTGATATTTATGGTGGGATAGAGCAGTGTTTCCCAACCCAGTCCCCGGGGAACCCCGGTCAGTCCATGTTTTTGCTCCCTCTCAGCTCCCAAGCATACCTGTACCAGGTATTCGGTGTTCCTGATTGGCTGGGAGCTGGAAGGGAGCAAAAACTTGGACTGTCCGGGGTTCCCCGAGGACTGGGTTGGGAAACACTGGTATACAGCACTGGGGCATCTGGGGAATGGGGGAACGAGGTGAATATGGAGGATAGGTCAAGCTAGGGAGGGTAGGTGAACGGAGGAATAGGGCAAACAGGGAAATGAGGAAGATGAGGAATAGAGCACTTGGGGCTTTGACGATATGATGAAAAATGGTTTGAGCTTTGTGAGTGTGGTCTTTGTGAGTTTGGGCCATTAAAATTTTTAGTTTGGTGTATAGAATAAGAAAGGTGTAAAATGGCAGGTTGATCTCAACAGAAGGGGCTAGAAACCAGCACTATCACTGACCTCCTCAGGTCGACCAAAAAAATAGTAAAGACCTCTAAGAATTCAGTGACACTCTGTCTCATATTTTTGGTGACAATCTTGAAGAAACGTGACTCAGAGTACAGCAGCACGCCTTTGCCGTCACCTTCGAGGACGACATCCTTCATGTCAAGATGAGTTACTTTTAGCTCCTTTACGAAACCAACCCCACCCTTAGCATTCACACATCTCAAAAACACACACATAATTGTACATGCTACCCTTCCTGCTGTTTCATTTATTTGACACCGTTTTACAGCATCAGAGTGATGCTTCCGCCACCTGACTCAGGGCCAATGAAACACCAGAGTCACTAATAAGTATTTACATTTATGTATTTAGGATACATTCTTGTCCAAAGAGACATACAATGAAGCAACTGGCACATTGCAATCTTACAAGGGGTCACTAGGCACTAGGCTGAGCTTCCAATGAATGTGCAGGTACTGTATACGTGTGAGCAGCAGAGGAGGAAGATCTACACAACAACTTCTTCAAGGGCCAGAGGAGAGACGTAAGAGCTTAGATAAGAACTTAAAAACCCAGCCGGAACCGCAGATGTATGGAGCGTCACGTGGTTAACAGCATCATGAGTAAATGGACGGGTTCATTCCCCTGATGATCTGATCATTGATTATAGTCTACCCCCCCCCACCCCCTACCCCCTGTCTTGCAGAGATGGGTCCGGCCAGCCCAGATACAGTGGGGGTGCCGTTAGCCTGCCCATTCTGTCAACGCACATACCAGCGCGACTCCTCCCTGCGGGAGCACATCCGGTTCTGCCACGAGCGGGAGGGGGGGCGGCTGGTCTGCCCGCTGTGTGGCGTCAGCGCCACCTACAGGGAGCAGATGGAACAGCACATGTTGATGCACACCAACCCACCAGGAAAGGTTGGTGTAGGGGTTTGTAGGCATGAGCAAAGTGAGCACGGTGACTTTGCCACCGGTAAAAGTATAACGTGGGTGTGTCTCTCCCAGTTCCCAGTGTTCGACAACACCATGGAGAACAGAAGGTTTAAATGCACACAGTGTGGAAAAGCCTTCAAGTACAAGCACCACCTTAAGGAGCACCTGCGCATACACAGTGGTACGCTGCAACACCTTCTGATTGGCTAAGCTTGATCCCTCAAATCCTTCTGATTGGTTAAGATCACTCCACTTTAAAATGCCTTGTGATGGCATGTCTAATTTCGATTGTTTGAGCAGATAATTTTCTTAAGAAACCACTGCAAAAGCACAATCCAGAGTCATTATCGGCAAACTAAGGTTAAGTATCGTTGTTATGTAGATTAACTGTGAACAAACATATTACAACGAAGTCTGAGAGAGTGTTTCTGTCCACTAGGTGAGAAGCCTTATGAATGCTCCAACTGTAAAAAGAGATTCTCCCATTCGGGGTCCTACAGCTCTCACCTCAGCAGCAAGAAGTGTCTGAGTGGGGGGGCGGGGCCAGGGGCGGAGTCAGAGGTGCAAAATGGACAGACATACACCACTTACCTCAACAACTCCTCCCCCACCTCGCCGTCAGCCGGTGGGGGACGGAACGGCAAGAGGCGCTCCCCATTCCCATTCCAGGCACAGTCAGATGCACTCCCCAGGGAGGTACTGCTCAGGGGCCAGGACCCGGGGAGAGCCTGGGAGACAGCTGCGGAGCTGCCTTACCACGCTGCCCTGCTGGCCCACCTGCCCCCCGGGGGGAAGTTCGAGCACATGCTTCAGGAGGCGCTGCGGAGGGGGGCACGGGGAGCCGAGGAGGGCCCTACGGGAGAGGACAGAGGGCGGGGCCACGAAGGGGCCAGACAGGGCGAGACGCCGGGGAGCGGCGTGACATGCAACTGGTGTGCACAGCTCTTTCCCAGCCCCGCCGTCCTGCTGCAGCACGAACGCTACCTCTGTACCATGAACAGGGACGTCACAGAGGCCCTCGAGGGCCTCCGCCGTGGGGGCGCTTCCCCCCCGGCCTTTTCCAGGTCCTCCACGCGGTCACGGGAACCCCGCAGAGCCACCAATGGCTTCTCCGAGGAGGAAAGGTCACCGCTGGCAAGATCCACATGGCACGGGTTCCCAGGACAGCCGCTGGGCTCCACCCGCTCCCCCCTGCCGCCCCTCCCCAGCCTGCTGGCCTCTCAGCCACTCTGGCCTCGTTCGGGGTCCGGCAGTCCGGCTCACCGGGCCACCCTGCAACCCCCCTCACCCTCTATCTCGGAGCAGAGGGCCGGCTCCACCTCAGGATTCTCTCCTCCGCCACTTTGCCTGGACCTATCCGCCAGCACCTCCCCCTCCGGCCGGCCGGCTCCCTCAGTCTGGACCCCTGGCTCTGCCGGTTCCCAGAACGAGCCCTTGGATCTCTCGCTGCCCCGGCTGCGGCCAGGCCTCCACAAAGACAGAGGGCGCAGCAGGACTCCGGGAAAGGAGAAAGAATGCCCTGGCAGCCATCACAAAGGACTAACTCCGCCTCTGCACCCGCCAGCGGGGGTCGGATACAGTGTGACGCCGCTGTTCGGAAGTTCCATTTATGGCACAGCGCACCCCTTCTTCAACCCCGCCCTGGCTCCCAGCATCGGCAGCACAGCATACAATGGGCTCCCAGTCCTCACGACCCCCATGGCCTACATCCGGGAGTCCGACACAGAAACCATGTTCAAGAAGATACAACAGGAACGGCAGACATTCATGGTGAGGCCTCGCTGAAGCTCCGTCCTCCGAATATCAGTAACCCCACGATGTGGATGCACTAGGATTACTAACCGGCACTGGACTTTGGGGTTCCCCCGTGGGCAATTTAATTACTTTGTTTTTGGCGATATATTTAATTGTAAATGACCCATTATTTTACTAGTAAATGTATAAATATAAATGGATTTCTGATGGGAGCAGAGAGAGCAGGCGAGGCTGTGAGGTTGTGAGGTTGTGAGGTTGCACTGATGACTCACACGGCTCATGGTGCCGACCTGCGTCGCTGTGGCAAGACCGAGAGCATTAGTCAGCACTAGGGCCGCCAGCTTCCACGCCGTGACATTTTGCAGACGGAGCTGTTTGCTTTTGCGTGGGCCAGAGACACACATCGAGGGCCATCTACTGGGGGGAATTCCGGGGCCATTGCTGACGGGGGCCTCTGCTCCAACCTCGGGGCATGGGGCACAATTCCAACCCATAACCTTATACTTTTATGTCTTCGGGTTTTTTTTTTTTTTTTTTTAAACATGATGTTGGTTTGTGAATGAACCCTACAATTTAGCGAGAAACAGAGCCCAGGCGACATCAAGGTGCGGAGGGACCGCACAGCCATGCAGGGGAACCTGGAAACATTCCAATTCACCCAGCTTCACACGTCCGAAGGCCGGAACGCCGGCATTCCGTATTTGTCCAGGAAAACTCGAGAAAACCAAACTCCCTTGTGTTCTGTATTTTGACGCATCAGGGTGAAACGGTGACACGGAACTGCCTGGACTACTTGTCGGTGATGGAGGACGGCTTGGAGGGAGGCGACGGCGGCCTGGGCAGGAAGAGGTTGAGGAAGACGGACGAGGGCCTTTATGCCTGTGACATTTGTGAGAAAACCTTCCAGAAGAGCAGCTCCTTGCTGCGGCATAAGTACGAGCACACAGGTAGGCTCTGCCCCCCCCGTGGATTGTCTTTTGTCCCTACCTACCCCGGGGAGGGGGGGGTTCCTATTTCCTGTCCTGACAGTGCTGCTGATCTGCTGATCTCCCCTCTCTTCGGCTTTCTGGGCAGGTCGGCGTCCACACGAGTGCAAGGTGTGCAGGAAGGCATTCAAGCACAAGCACCACCTGATCGAGCACTCGCGCCTGCACTCGGGCGAGAAGCCGTACCAGTGCGATAAGTGCGGGAAGCGCTTCTCACACTCCGGCTCCTACTCGCAGCACATGAACCACCGCTACTCCTACTGCAGCCGCGACCTCGATGTCAGCGAGCTTCCTGGCGAGGAGCCGCCACCAGGGGGCGCTGAGCCCTGCCGGCCCCTGGATCTGGGCCTGTCTTTAACGGGGGCCCCTGCCTCCCTCAGCGATTCCAGCCTGGATGGGGCCACCGGTGTCCTTAGGGAGGAGGAGGATGATGAGGAGGAGGAAGAGGAGGGGGAGCGGCGACACCGGGACAACTACACGGAGGGGAGGGCCGCAGTGCTGGATGAGGGGATTCAGCCCACAGATGGGTCCCCCCCTGTGGGAGATGAGGACATGTGTGGTGAGGGCAGCAGTGTGGGAAGCAGTGGCCCAGAGGAGCTGGAGGGAGCTAGTGGGAGCGAGAACACCAGTAACTGAGACCAGTACAAGGCGTACGTAGCAGGGGATGGCAGTGGGAGTGACTGCAAGCTAGGAAAATATAAATGACAGGAACAAAATGACAACAGGAGGTGCACAGTCCAGAAAAAGGAAGGAATGTTCCAGAACATTGCTGGGGGTGGTACAAGAGGAGGAAGCTTCATTAAATGGATGCAAGTCTGGTGGCTTGTAGAGGAGGGCAGGTCACACAGCATTTTCCTGGAATCAAACAAAGCTTCTGGACAGGCTAAAGCAACGGGAGGTGAGAATCTCCCAGTCCCCACCCAACTCCGAGTGGACACCCCAACTCACGCACAGAGTTGGGCAAGAAATGTTCCCTAAGACTTTAAATTCCAGAACCTACCCTCTGGTCCAGACAGCTTGTTAGGTACCAGAGCACATTTCTGATTATGGTAACACAGCTGGACTCTCTATCAAAAGGAACAAACAGAAATATGATTTTCCCCCCCCCCCCACTTCTTCATAAAATGCAAATGCATCGTTTCGTAGTTTGCCATATTCATGATACATTATTATTTTATCAACTGACTCAGCAGAACTAATTTCTGAACTAAGTTAAATTTGATGACATAGTTGTCGCAGGGGTTCGTTTATAACATTTAAGCCATATAAAAAGACAATCACTTTAAAAAAAACAAAATCACACCACGTAACTCTAGACTGATTTTTTTCTGAGAAAGTCCCTAAAATGTGTAAAAAGAATTTTTAGCTAAAATTACACCTCCAGCGGTGTACAACAACAACAAAAAAAAAAACATAAATATTAATTAGCACTTCGTTTGTCGCACAAAAGTTGGTGACAAATGCGAGAAAGAAACATCTCTGACAAACATCCTGCCACATCAGATCGGAAAGAGGGGTATTCCCACCGAGAAGGATCCGCGGCCCCCTCAGCCTCAGAGGTGATGCAACAGACTCTGTCACCCTGTCGCACTTCTCACACATCTGCTGTCCTTTACTTTCATTTCGCTCCTACCACCCCTGCCTCCTTATTATATCGACGCTTCCAGCGAAGGTAGCCATTTCCTCGCGTTTGATGCGTTTTAAAACGAATCCGTGTTGAGCAAAACATGGAAAGGGAACAGATCTATTATAATTTTTAAATATGTTTTTCTGATAAATTAGGCAACCGTGCATTATATTGCATTTCAAGAACAGCCACTGATAATCGGTGCCATAGATTATTTTATTGTAATGTCTCTCTCTCTCTCACCCACACTCACACACAGGTTTAGGGAAGATGACAAAATCCCAGTTGTGAAAATACACTGTCATCTGTTTAAGACGTAACACGGTTTTGCTGTTAACCTAAGCAAAGTTCTTGCCGGTTGATTCGTACTCAGCTTCAAGTTCAATTGCCTCTGCAACTTGGGCCAGCATCGCAACGCAATTATAGCCGATCGTTTATACGAAATTAGATTGTTTTCTCTCTATCGATCGGACGCTGTTGTACAGCGTTCAGAGTAACGAGCCAGGGGAAGCGACTTGGCCGGAAAAATAATGACAGCCTTTATCCGCCAGCCATGATCCATGCCTGGGCACACATTCGGAAAGAAGGGAAAATAAATACGAAACCACAGCGGGTAATCGGGCAGAGCCTGTGACGTCTCGGTCCGGCAGCGGCGGATGACCCGGAGGTGGAGGTGGACCTTCGACCCACAAACCTCAAACGCGGTGAAGGCCGTGTGTTTATCGAGAACATTCTCGGATCCGTTGTTTTTGACACTTTTATTGATCCCCGTGGAGAAATTCACGTTTCGCCTGCCCCGTCTTGGTCTCCATGACACAAAGACTTTGTAGGCCTTAAAGGAACGGAAATTTACGGAATAAAACACTCACCTGCTCCCGCCGCGACCTTGGCGGTTCACATTTATCCGTGTGAAGGTGTCTGAGCGGGACATGCCAGGGACCAGGTGGCATACAGAAAAAAATGTTGGATTAAAATTGCAAAGGTGCTATTTTTCTGCGTTTTTTATATTCAGTTACACTTGGTATGTTTTTCCCCCTATAAATCATCTATTTTGGTGACTTGAGAAAAGGACTATTTGTATTTTATTTACTCCTTTTAAAATACTTATGCATTGGAAATGTTATGTGTTTTTTATAAATCCACCTGGACATCATTTTCTTCCCTCTTCGCTGATGTGTTCGTGTTATGTTTTTTGTAAATACTTTACTTTGTAATAAAAACGTGTATATAATATAATGTGAATAAGTGGCGTTTGCATACTCTTCTTTTCTGGCGAGCCCGACTGAAAACCAAAGAGGTTCTGTAATGACAGACACATTTGTATTCTTGTTTTAGATTTCTCTCTCACAAAAACTCTCCTCTGCAATTTCATACCAATTACGAAACGGCTTAAAAACCCGCGACTGCATACATGAACATCTAAGTCAAATTGTACTTTGTTATTAACATTTACAACATTGTAGTTTAATTAAGTCACTATACAGGTCTACGCTTCGGCCTACTGTAACCCATCTTAACAAATCCATATAATGCGGAGCGTTTTCTAAATCTCTCTAAAAATATGATTGAGATAAAAAATAATCTTCCAAAACTGCTAGATAAACAGTTACAAGAGTTTTAAATAAATAGGTGACCCTTCATGCTGAAACGAGGCTGTTCGTTGCGGTATAGGTTACCATACAGATCAGGGGGGATTTCTTAACACTAATTTCGCTACTGTAGTGTATAGCATGACATAACAAGTTGTGAGTGGCCCATATCACAGGTTACAGATTGATCACCGCTATTTCGACGCACCACGTCACAGTTAATGAGTAATTAAAATGTTATATTTCGACTTTTCACATCCATTTTCCGTTTGTCATAAATAAACCCCCTTGTCCCTGTGTTTCGTGTGACTTTCCCTCCCGTCGCTGTGGTCCCCATCTGCATGATGATTCACTGGTAGTTTGAAGCACTTTCCTTGAAGCCCTGCGTGTGGAAGGACAGACATGTCACAGAGAATGACGAGCTAAATGAGAACGTTGGTACGATGATTTGCACCACAGAAGCGCGTCTTGGGCCAAAATCCCCATACGGCCAACACTACTGACGATAACAATAAACGACAAAAACATATTGAGAGTAATTAAAGTCTGTTGCCTTTCGCTGTCCTCGAGAGTGACATAAAGCACTTGACCTTTCAACAAACAGAGTTAAATCACTTTAAACGTGCAAAGCCCACGAGCCTCTGTTATAAAGGTGAATATATAATTTCTTTATTAATCGGAATAACACACACACACACACACACACACACACACAGCTACATACATACGTACACATACATATATACACAGGCCTACATATGTAATGTGACCTTTGGTTTTCACTACCCCGCTTATTTAAACCAATGTAATGTTGGTTTGTTGGGTGGAAATTTAAGACGAAACTAATATGAATCCGTTCGAATGCCTTAAAAATTAAAAGTGACAACACTACGAAGGCAATTTAATATCGACTATTAGTTTGTAGGCCTATCATTTTTTCTATGGCTTTAAATGCATTATGTCCATAATATGTCCAAATAAACATCTAAAACGACGGCACCAAATGAAATAAGCAGAACGTTAATTCAGATCGTTAGTACAAAACCAGTTTGAGGAACCGGATGAGCAGTACCATTACGGTGAAACGATTTTAAAATGGGTTAAACAAACAAAAAAAAAAAAGTCATTATTTTAGGAAAAAAGCATCATCATTAGCGTATTTTTCCCCAATAAAAAACGTGTTTTATTTTTGCTCAGATTAAGTTTTTATAAAACAATAAATAACATTTTAACCTTTAACCACGCCGATAAAACGTCACGTCCTTCGTGATTAAGTTATGGCATTTTTAGTTTCAGTGCACTGATGCACACTCATCTAATCAAGGGGAAAGAAAAGTGTCACTGGTCAGCTTTTTTTGCACTCAACGTGATCATAATATATACGCAACACATTTACGGTACAGCTCATAACACACAGACCTATCTCTGATTCCTTTTTGAAAAATCAGCAATGAGATTCTGGGCGATTGCGCGATGGCACCAAACCAGAAACACTCCGGCCTTTCCAAACAAAACTGCAATAATACGAAAGTAAAAAGAAATAAATATATATTTAGAAGCATTCAGATCCTTGTACATTTTTCTTCTTTCTTGTGCTTTCTTGTCTCCTGCCAAAACCACAGTCAATGTAAAATGACCGAAGCCACAGAATAAGTGGGGGGGATTCCGCATTTTTTAAAAACATATGTATTTCTATTTTGCCTTTTGTTCCGTTATTAAAAGCAGAAATTACGCCAGTCATGTGGGAGCGCGCTCTCTCTCTGGAAGACATGCACATACCTTCTCAATGCACGTGGCCCTCACGCAAAAAAGACATCAAAGCAAAACAACAAAACACTGAAATCGGCCACATTCAGGAGATTTCGAAAGTAAAATCGCTCTATGATGTGTTATTGGACACGTTTTATATGCACGATGGAGTGCATTATTGCATGATGATAGTAATTAATATGAGCTTGTGGTTTCATTGAGTAAAACTTTAACTTCAAAAGCGTTTCTTTTCGACATGTTGTCGTGCATTCTGACATTCGTAGACGGCTTCCAGCTGTGAGGGTTACAACACAACTCCCTTTAAAATTAAGACTATCGTACCGACAAAAAATGTCATTCGGAAATTAGTAAAATGACCCGTGTTTGCAGGGGTGGAGGGGTGATAGAGCCCCAGGATTTTGGATGAGACCACGGGGGTCTAGAGGGAAGGTGTTCTGATGTGTGGATTGTGCATTTTTTTGGGCCCCTACAAGCAGAAACACTGTGACTGTAATAAAAAAAACTACAAATGTCAAAAGTCTTGTATTTTATTTGGTTACTTATGGTTAAAGTTAGGGCTGGATAGGGGGTAAGGTTGTCATTGTTGTGATTAGGATTTTGCCCATAGAAATGGACAGTTCAGACAATGGTATGAATACAAATGTGTGTGTGTGTGTGTGTGTATCCATAGGAGGCCATTTTGTCTATAGAAATATTTCCATTCAAAGGCTCATAATAGAGGTCATTTTGGTGTAAACTTAATGAAGCTCATTAGAATGGATCACTTCGCTTCCAGCATGCTGTAACTGAACATTAGTGCTTCCTACACACATAAATACACAGAAGGGTGAATTGCAATGACAAAAAAGCAAAAGTTTGATTGCGAGTTTATATGTTGTCTCAGAGACGTTCCTAACACCTGTCGGTAAGAGCTGATAGCCTGGAGGACTACGTGGCTCTTTCATGCTGCATGTCACACACACCCCCCCCCC